GGAGGGGGGAGGAGGAGGAGGAGGAGGAGGAGAAGAAGAAAAAGAAGAAGAAGAAGAAGAAGAAATGTAAATCGTTTTTATAGCGCCTATTCCCTTGTAGAATCAGCTCTGGGCACATTACTGAAGTTGAGATACCAATTTATAAAAGAACAAATGCTGTGAAAATGTTAATAATTTGCTAATTTGCACACACAGGAAGAAGAAATAAGAACAATAATTAATAAGCAATCAGTGGAGTGAGCCACTTATTGTAAAATCTATATATACTATAATTCAGTGTTATATTTGTAGCCTACTGGTTGGGTTTATAGATTTGATCATATCGGAGAGAGGTGAAATAAAAGGAAAATTATTCATTTCCTTTCCCTTTCAGCAAAAACCAACTTCAAAGAATTGTGAAAATAATCTTAATTGTATGAGTTTTACTCCCACCCCAATCGAAAACAATTTAAATCATTTAGAAGGGAGGCTACTTTGACTCTCAAATTAGGGCTCACCTGGGCAGAGTGTGATACAACATTCATTCAGTCATACATAAATGCTTGACAAATAAGTCTCACAACTCAGAACCTCAAGAAAAAAGAAATCTGAAAGCTCAATACCTTGAGTTCTGACACAACACCCATACCTTTGTGATCTTGATGGTGATGAGACCGTACGAATTCTTTTCTTCCCTAATCTTCTTTCTGCTGACAATTTCCATCATGACCCTGCCCTCGTTCATTGCATCCGTCATAGACATGGCCTGAGGAGTAAAGAAATAAAAACAAGATTTTCTTAAATACCAAATATGTAACATTATCATTAACTTTTATTCATCCATAACTTCAATGAGTCAAGTCTGCAAACTTCTTCGCACTGAGGTTTCAACTCTTTGACACAATTTAGATCATTTACGAGGTAGGCTTCCGCACTGCCTGTTAGGGTCAACCCAAGCTGAGAGGGATACAACCCAGCAGAAAAACCAAGATACTCACACACACACACACACACACACACACACACACACACACACACACACACACACAAACACACACACACACACACACGTACACACTCAGTGTGTATGTCTTGGCCTCACCAAACTCAACAGATGAACTTACCAAACCCTGTGGGATTCAATGAAACTCAAGATTAAGAACCACTTACCTAAAAGCTTGTCTCGTGTAAACTAAACCCCAAATAAAGTTGTTATTTAGCAGTTATAACACAAGTGTTATGTAAAAACTATAACAAGGAATAACATGTGTTACATAATGACTATAAAAGAATAAGTGTTATATAATAGACAGCTACAATAAGGCTTCCTTCACTGACCACTCCAGTGTTGGGGTTAACATATTCATTCTTTGTCTGGTCCACAATGCCAAGCATGATGGCATTCTGCAAGGTCAGCTGAGTCTTCTCGTCACGGGGGTCAAGGACACCCTTGATGATGAACGTGTGCTGCTCTTCCTCAAGGGTCGACATCACCTGAGGGTTGTAAGTATGAAAAAAATAGTCAGTTTTGCAGGATCAATTATGATCACAATGATAATGATGGTGGCGTGCTCTATAGACCTTATAGTGAAAAATGAATTCATTCTGAGTCCTACAATAAAGAATATTTCTAGTATGATCTATAGATTTGTCTCTCTCTATTTTAGTTTGTTTCTCCTCTCTCTCCCTCTCTCTCTCTCTCTCTCTCTCTCTCTCTCTCTC